CAGGGGATGAAATTAGGTCTCAGCTCTGTTTTCACATCAGTCTCGACAAACTGAGTAGCTTATTTCTAGACCTATAAATTATGCTGTATCCAGTTTAATACATATTTCTAGTAACATTCTAGTAACACTCGGATAAATAAAGGTAGTTCTTATTTATTTCTTCAATTCAGTTATTTAGTTTTTTTTAGTTGGAGCTTCTTCTAATGCAGGCTGGTAAGATTTGTAGCAATTGAGTGCACAACAGAACTCTGCCATCACTTTGTGCCACTGCATTTCAACAGTATGAAGCTTCTTACATGGAAAGAAATTGCTGAAATTTGTTAAGCTGTTGCAAATATTTAATCCACTGAATACAAACAGATTTTCACCAGCAGAAACTCATTGAAAAGATTGAAGGGAATGTATGGGCTCAAATTGTCGTCATAAATATTTTGTACTTGTAAATCAGGATTTGTATGTGTAAAAAAGATTTGTGTGGGAGCCAAAAAATACGTGTTACAAAAAAAACTCTGCAAGTTACAAGTACGAATTTTGACCCTACTTTTCTTCCTTTGATCTGATTGGCCAATGTCATGTCAATCACAAATTTAACTATCCAATCAGAGAACAGATGGGTTTGGCTATTGGAGGGGTGCTTTATGGAGCTTCAAGTCCACATACAAATCTTTTTTACGCACACACAAATTATTTTTACACATACAAATCCTGATTTACAAGTACAAAACTGATTTACAAGTACAAAATATTTATGACCACAATTTGAGCCCATAGGAGTGCTCTGATCTTTGCAAACTCCTCAAAAAACAGAAAGTTGGAACTAAGGATGGGTATTGATAAGATTTTCACAATTCCGATTCCATTTTCGATTCTGTTTAAGGATTCGATTCTTTATTGATTCTTTTAAAAAAGGAGAACACTAAGGTCAAATAGCTTATAACTTTGTTTTATAGCTTCTCTTTGAACAAGATAGAAATTTAGGAGTAACATGGCCTTACAAACCCAACAGTGAGATCTTAAGAGATCCACAGCCTACGGCTCTTCCATGGGGTGTCACAGGGTCCCCAGGAAAAAAATTGTAAATGTAAAGTAATAAAATAAATATTCTTCTGTAGCAATAACAAAGTATAACATAAATTATTCTGTAGCAATTACACAAGAATATCCAGTATAATATCCCTGCCTACAATTAAACACATTCACTTTTACCACAAACTTAGTCACTGCTCGGTGGCCTGAAAGGAGACGCTACCGGTAGACAGCAGTGAGAACTGCCAGCATCTGAGCCACCCAGACTGTCTAAGGTCATCGTGTGTTTTGTGAGCAAATGCTTTTGCATATTTGTAGTGTTTCCTCCCTTAAATGAAATATCTACTTTGCAAGTATTGCAAGTTGCCCTGTTGTCATCCGTTCTCGTAAAGTATAACCAAATTTTTGAGCATTTGAGCCGCCATGTTTCCTGCCAGGTAAATGACGCTCCGCAATGTGGTGACGTCATTCGGGGCGACTGGAATCGATAAGGGAATCGTTTGCAAAAATGGCAAACGATTCCAAGGAATTGAAACAGTGGGAACCGGTTCTCAACAAGAACCGGTTTTCGATACCCATCCCTAGTTGGAACCCACTACTGCAACACCATGACATCACAGCATGCAGACAATAAGCTCTGATCTATCAGTTGCAGGTATAAATAAATTCACAGTGCATATGGAGCTATGAGTCTGTGTACCCAAGTAGGTGCTTTGTAAATGTGATTACTATCAAATCATAACCAAATCAAATGTCATGTTAAAACATCCACTAATCTTTTTTTTAGATAATAATAACAAATTTATGTATATAGATTTTTTTTAACATTATTACTTTATATTTGAGATAAAACCACACATTAAAGATAAGTATACATGTCCACACAGTCAAACATACAATCCTACATTCATTCTTACATGCACACTTTCACACATATAAGAAGAAGAGCTAAAAGTAAAGAGCAGAACGATTAAGAAAATGAGTCAAAATGAGTTTTCAGCAGATGTTTAAAACTAAATTAGGCCAGCCTGTTCCAAAGTGTAGGAGCTTCAACTTCAAAAGTGTGGTCACTTCTTAAAATAAGAGCATGAAACATGTAAAAGACCCTGATCAGATGATTGGAGAGGCCAATGTTGGAATAAAATCTTAGCAGGCCTGGTATATATGCCTGCTGTGTAGGTCTTTACATGTTATTAATGAAACTTTAAAATTCTGAATTTCCCAGGCTTGCTAGGAGCCTAGCTGCTGAGTTTGTGCCTGTTTGACACAGGCTAGTTGAGCACTGAGGTTTGTTTTTTGTGATGTTTCTTAAATGAAGGCAACAAGACTGGATTAGATATGAGATTCAAAATGCAAATACTGATGAAACATGATACCAAGGCTCTTAGCAGATGATATGATATTGCTGGAGTGGGAGCCGGTGTAATGACTGACCTCCTTAGAGAAATTGTCAGGGTCGAACACAAGTACCTCAGTTTTGCCAGAAATAAGGTATTTCCAAGCATCTGAAAAGATTACTTTTCTGTGAAATGTAGGCAGTGATGTTTGTTGGGTTATATCTAACTATTTATTCTAAAGAGACAACACAATTCAAGTTGAAGCTCCTCCTCGAGTTCCCTTCTATTCCACTAGAAAACAGTCTAGCTTGAGCTCTGACTCCTCTTCGAGATGAAAGAAACAAATCCAACAGCATTTTATAAATAAATACCACAAGCCTCACTCAGTATGATGTGAGGTTACCGTCTGTCCATACTGGGCTGCACATTTCCTTGTTTTTCCATTTGTCTGATCAATTCAAACCAAAAAGTCATCAATCACTCCCGACTCAATTCTTTGATGTCAGGGTGCCCATCTCTCCACTCCAGCAGCCTCGCAAAGCCAATAAAAGCACCAGTTGAAAACTGAAACATGAAGCATCTCAATCAAGGGTTTTTTTTTTGTGTGTGTAATTTTTTAGACAACCCTTTGATCCCATCACGTACAGTTTTGATCCTCTTGGTTATTGCTTGTTTATTCCACAGTTGTTCCTGAACGTGCACCAGTGGAAAAAATTATAATCCAAACTTAAGTGCTCAGTTTTCTGGTTATAGATATATAACCAGAAAACTGGTTATATATCTATAACCTATATAGGTTACCCATACCTATATAGGTATAGGTTATAGGTTATAGATGCTTGTAGCATCCAGGGCTTTACTGAGCAGCTGCTGACCAGGCCAGTAACTGTGAAGTTGAGCTGGGTCAGTGGGGAAAAGATGAGAAAACACAGGCCAGATTGAAAGTGGTTTGAGGGGGGAGAAACTATGCTGCAGGTCAGGACTCCAAAGAGTAAACACCAGATTAAAAGTGACAGACTCCATAAAAAAGTAATTTAATTTAAGAGATTTGACAACTGACTTCACTAAACCGTCCTGACTCCAAAGAGAAAACAATACCACCGTAGAGCACCTTATATCACACTAGACTACTCATAAAATGGCTGAGCCAAGTGCAATATTGTACTGCACCTTCCTCCAAGTGCAGACTCAGAAGGTAAAACAATATATTTAGAGGCGACAGCAACACCCTGCTGCACCTTACACTGCTTGAATTCCAAACTTCTAAGTGAAAAGCGATTTAAGAGCAACAACATCTCAGTGCACCTCCCTGAAAGTCCAGGCTCCACCATGAAAACAGCTAAATAAAGAGCAACAGCAGCGTACTTAACTTCACAGCAAGTTCAGACTCCACAGATGAAACGGCAACAGCTTACTACATCTATGTTCAAGTCAAGGTGTAAAGAGAAAACTGCCAAAATCTTCCCAAACTTCACTCCAAACTCCACAGACAAATCACGTAAATTAAGGGGAACAGCACATTCTTGCAAATTCAGACTTCACAAATGAAACATCACATTTAATAGCACTCAAACTAGAGAAAACAACTGGTTTAATAGTGACATTTTTGTTCTCTCTCTTTACAGTTGAAGACAGGTCTGTATTCAAGTCTATGGGCAGGCTGATTGTTCACTTAAAACTTGAAAGTCCATTTAGTGTAAAAAAAGAACATCTGCATTCAGGGGAGAGAAAAAAAGTCTGGCACAGCAGGATCACCTCCCAATCATCCTGGTGTTCTTCCCTGGTTTTCATGCTCCAGTGGGTAGAAAATCAGGATTCTTTGGTTTGTGAACATGGGGCTGACATCAATCAATCAATCCCAGACAGTAATTACAGTGATTGCCCCGAAACCGAAAGGTCACTGGTTTGATCCCAGCTCTGTCAACAGTCCTGTGCGCACAAATCTGAGACAAGACCTCTGAGGATCCAGATAAGAGCCTTACAAGAGGAGATTTATTACGTAATGCGATCAGAAAGGCTTTTTCCATGTTTTATGTTTATTTTAACGTTCATCTTTCCAACGCCAATCATCTTCTCCCTGCAAAAAAAAAAAAAAAAATCTATCTACAGAGTCCTCTTCACTAGATCGCATTATTTATGTCCCTGTAAGGGAAGTTTGGAAGCACACCATCAACAGATGATGCCTTCATAACAAAACTCTAATTCCCTTTAATTAATATTAATCGTTTTATGAAATTACCTGGAAAATTAAGCTGTTAATCATGCCGAATTTCTGTTGCCCATTGCTGCAGTCGAGGAATGCATTGCAAGCTGCCATTTAATTTTGCCTGTGAAACAGCTTTGGATAAAAATGATGATGACATGAGATTTTCACACAGGCTAAATTTGTTGGGAAAAGACGAAAATTGTATGAAATTACACACAGACCCGGTCTGACAGGCAACAGAATACGGTACAATAAGTATTTCGATTTTTGTTGGGGGGGTGAAATAAAAGGAAAGCGAAGATTAGACATTAAAAGAAATTAAAAGGAATAATTCTGTTGTTTTGGCCATTCATTCTCCAATGAAACGTATTAATTAAAAATAATTATAAAAATAATAAATTATTAATAATGATAATAATAAATATTCTTACCCAAACATGAGTTAACGAACCCATACCAAACGCACCCAGCGCGTCCGATCAACCACCGCCCCTGGGTGCTGGCTGCGAAGCTGAACGGAGTCCCCAGCACACTAACCAGCAGGTCGCTCGCCGAGATGCTCACCAGCATGAGATTCATGGGCGTGCGCAGAGCCCGGTACCGGCAGAACAGCGTGAGCACCAGGAAGTTACTGAGAAACCCGAAAGTGCCGATGAAGCCCAGGCACACCGCCACCAGAAGGTGCCCAGTCGGGCTCAGGGACGGAGGGGGCAGGGAACCGGATACCTCCTCGTACGCGTCCGTCGCCTCCGTGCTGCGGGCTACTCCCTCGGGACAGTGCGCGCAGCTCAGGCTCAAGTTGGAAATGATCATACCGGGATGAGCCGCGAAGTTTGCACCAGTCGGAAGTTTGTACCTCGGGAGGGAACCATCCGGTCTCGGTGTTTTTCACTCATCTGGAGAGGCGAATGCGTACGGGTGTCTCCACAGTCTGCGCGCATTAAGCACGTTTAACGAGCCAAGGGGTAATTTCTGTAAGTAATCTACTTTCTAGTCTGAGAGAGACACTTTGCGAATGAATGAGGAGAAGAGATGCTCTGTCCCGTTAGACCCGCCCCTCCACCGTGCGCTCCGGAGAGGTGCGCTCCTTTTCAGGCGCGGCCACTTAAGTGCGCCTGAGCTTTTATCACCCACAGCGCCCTTTAACGGGCTGGGAGACAAACACCTCAAACAAGAAGCGGTGGGTGGTGTTTGTGTGTGTGGATGTGTAATGGATGTGTGTAACAGGCTCGAGCCACGGTCACACCTGCATCATCAATCAAAGCGTTACATAACAACATGTAGGGAAACAAACTGAAAAGCTGCGTGACGGGTGAAGGCATTCAGATTTGTCCTGATTTTTCTGACATATACGTGTAATTAAAAGAAATCACTCAGTTCTCGTGTCAGGATTGAAACAGAAAATCCATAAGCTGTTTGACAAGAGATCAGTATGTTACAGCCTGAAGGGGGAAGGGCTCCATCCTCTTTTGAGCTCTCTGTCTCATCTGCTGGCTGATCACAGACTGATAACCACAGAAGTGTGTTTGTATATTTAAAATTTACATAGGGACCTATTGGTCACAGCTTGATTTCATGGTCCAAAAGCTATGCTATGCTTTTGATAGCTAACTATCAAAAGCATGGGAATCAATGATACTGTCTCCAGCTAGCAGCCTTCCTTTCTGTCAGTCAAAGGTTTCCTGTTGCTTGCTGTGCTTAGATGCTGTGTCTGCTGTCTTTCCCTCTCCACTTCTGACAAACACACATAGAGACATGGCATCATTTCAAAGGGAGTTCTTAGTAAGAGCGAACAGGAAAATGTGGCATGACTATTAGCAACTCGTGATTAGAAAAATACACTAACAAGCACTTTGTTGCTATACTAATACTGGGTAGAGCCTCCCTCTGCTCTCAGTCGGTCTCTGTGTCTTTTTGGATTCCCCAAAGATTTTGGGAATAAATCTTTGAGGTTCTGCTCCATGTTGACATGATTCCGTCATATACTTTCTGCAGATTTTTCAGATGTCAATCTCCCATTCGTGCGCATCTCAAAGCTGTCTGCCAGATCCAGATCTGGATTGAAGGGAGGCTGCTGAAGTCTGAGGAACTTTCGTTTTTGTTTTGTTTTTTTTTTAGATATTCATCATCCTGCAAGAAGTAGCCATTAAAAGGTGGTAAGTGAGTTACTCAGGGGCTCAAAGTGTGCCAAGAAAGCTGAATTCACTGTTCTGGTCTAATTTATGTTTTTTCCTTTGGCTTTTACTTATTTTGCTTTTGTGGTTTGGTTTTTCCGCCCATTTTCCTGTGACTTATACTTTTCTCTGTGGCACCCCCTGTTTGTCTTTGAGTTTCTTTCAGTCTACCTCATCCTCATTAGTTTTATCTGTGTTCAAATATCTGTGCGTTTACCGTCCCCCTCTTCTGCTTGTTTTTTTCTCTTTTCTCCTAGGCTTTCTCTTTCTTTCTTGGTCTTGTGTTTTATTAGTTCTCCCCTTCTGAGGTTTGTGTTTTCCAAGACTTTTTATGTAAGTTCAGTGAGCTTTGTATTAACCCATAAGAACACAGACCCATTTCTCCTCAAAGGTTGTGAGTGAAATGTAGACATGCCAATAGGGTCTGAAAATGGCTACCCGCCACAATGGGACAGCTTGTTTCATTTTCCCAGTACGGATGGTTTCTTGGCATTTGGCACAGACCCATGCACAGACAGAGGCCAGTCAACATGCTGCTGTGACTTTCAGAGATTTGTACACTGTACAAATGTGTCTGTTTCTTCAGTAACACAAAGATGTCTGCTGTTTTGACCTGTTTTGAATACTCCAGGGGAGTATAGACATCATCTGAAGGAGTGGAACTCAATTCTTTGAATTTAAGCACTCAGGGTTCTCAGAAGATGAATTTCTCCAAGAAAATAGTTTTCTGTATATTTTTTTTCTTGGAATCTTAAGTTTTGCTGCCCAGGATACTTCATCACAATCGATAAACACTATCCGTCAATTATCTCCCGCCTATTAAATTCAAGGTAGCAGGGTGGACTTGAGCAGGTTGCCAAACTATTGCAAGACTAACACAACAGTTCACACTCACCAATTTAAAATAGCTAACTAATCTAACTCGACACGCCTTTGGAACTTAAGTCAGGGGTTTGACTCCCGACCAGGGGGTCTGTATCCAGTAAGGCTAGACCCCCCATGCTAACTTTAGATATGAGGGACAGAGAGAAAACTGAAGCCGTATAGACTCAGACGTCACCTGGATTAATATGGTCCGTGTTAGGTGTTGAGGAACCAGGACACAGTGATGAGAAGTGGGCTCCTGGCACAAGTGGGCAAGAGATGAGAACAGGGCGCTGTTGGAATGCTACTATGCAAGTATCCCCAGCGGAAGGAGTTACATGAATAGGATGTGGGAATGAGATTTTCCTACAGAAAAGGAATACGGGAAGCTGGAGAAGTGTTAGGATGCCTGGGTTGTTGACCCAGGGCTTTTGAGTTTATTATATTATTTATAATTTCTAGTCTTTGGGTTTTCGTTAGAGTCATGTCTTATGGTTTGTCTCTGTGTAATCCTTGGTTGCTGTCTCCCCTGTCTGCTGTATCCCCGTGTCCAGTCTGTGTCTGCCCTGGTCCCACGTCTCTGTTCCCTCTGTTGTAGTGCCTGCATGTGAGTCTGTGTCTTTTGTTCAGTCTGTGTTTTGTGTTTCCTGTTTTACTTTGAAGGTCTCTGTCTTATCTCAGTGTGTTACGCTTCCTTGTCTCGTCAGTTCTGATTTGCCCCAGCTGTGTTTCCCTCCTGTTGTCCATTCCCTGATTGCTCCCTCTATGTATTTAAGCCCTGTGTTTCAATTTGTCATTGTTGTGATCTACCCTTATTTTGCTGTGTGTTCTGTCTGTGTAAAGTTTACCTTGGAGTCTCAGTTTTGTTACCTTTTGGAGTTCAGCATTAAAACTGTATTTAAGTTCACCTTTGATTTCCGTGAGTCTGCATTTTGGGTCCTTCATATCACCACCCCTGCGTGCACACAGCCATCACATAACAGAGAAGTACCAAGGGCTCAGAGAAGAGCTCCCTTTAAGGCTAGGAAATATCATGATAATAGCTACCGACTAGTGTAGAAACTCATCATATCTCAAAAATAAACCTTTTTTTTTTTAGTGAACCTTTTTGTTTAACTGACTCTGAGTTCCTGATCACAGTTTGTCATTTGTGTACATGATCTCTGACATGAATCCATGTCCAGCAGCTTTGTGATGATGGAACGACAGCCAATGAAGGAATCAAGATCTGCACATGTATTCTGTTGAAAAAATTCTGTGTGCGCGTGTGTGTGTGTGTGTGTGTGTGTGTGTGTGTGTGTGTGGTTTAATTGTTGCTTTGGGTTCATAGTTGATCACCTGTGCACCCTGAGACACAGCAATCTGTTTCTTTTGACCTCTGCGTGTTTGTACCTCTGATTTTAATAAGGTGAGTCAGAGGAGAGATTGGAGTTGGCTGTATGCTACCGACCCAGTCAGAGGTTAGAAAAGGGTGCTTGTACTTTGTGCTGCTTTTTCCATTTGGAAAACAATTTTTTTTACTTTTGACTGGGTGGGCAAGATGACAGGTCATTTGGCTGAGCCCACCCCTACCTGTAATTAGATACCAGAAAAGAATGTCTGATACTGATACTGGTATATTGGCATCACGCACCCCAGAATGACGAGAGTGGCATAAATAGACCAGAATAGGGGCGCACTACTCAAAGACACCTGGCTTCAATTAAGCCAGGGGCAATTGTGTGAAAATCAACCCCCCCCCCCCCCCCCCCCCACACACACACACACACACACACAGAGAATCTCTCCAAAAGCAGTGCCAATTAACTATAAGGCAAGTCAGTGCAAAGATGATGCATCTCTACCTTTCTACTTGTCATGGGCCGACTTATTAGACATAAAAAATGACAGGAGAGGCGTGGACTTGCAAGTAAAGTAGATATCTTTTTCTAAAAGACACACACAATGAGTCAGTCTTATCAGTTGGGCCAAACCTAATCAAGAAGCCGACCAACGATGGTGCAGGGAGAATGGACAGGTGCTCCAAGGTGCACTGATGCACTCCACCTGAAGGGACCTGCACAGAGCAAAGACACAGGGCAGAATACACTGGGGCATCACACCTGGTGAGAACAACAATACTTATATTTGAAAAACACTTTATCTTAAGTGACAAATTTATTTATAGTTACAGGGTATGCCTCAGTTTCCATCTCATTTCACAAAAGCTGACATCATGTAGAGATACTAGAATTATTTGCACATCAAGATGGTAATCAGTATCAAGACTTTCATGCATGTACACAAGATACTAATAATGTTGTTTTTTCCTGGTGAGGACTGTCATAAAAAAGACTCTTCTACTTATTATGCAGGGAACGGGTGCTTTTGCTCCCCTGCTCTCTCATGTCTTTGTCTCTTTCACTGTTCCTTTGATTTCTAAGGTAACCTTGCCAACAGGTGCTCTTCAGTAGGAAAATGAATTATTAATTAGACAAAATTAGATAATTTAATGAAATTTGCTTCATATAAAAATCATCAAAACTTAAATACAGGACCTGTTCCCAGCACTTTTGGTGGCTGCCTAATTAAAAAATAATTTTATTTAAACTTTATGAATATAGTCAGAAACTTCTTTTCAAGTCTGAATTAATAATAATGGAATTTTTTAATGTATGATTAAAAATATTACTTTATGCCTGAACTTGTTATAAATATTTCCCACTTTAAGTTTAAATTTGAATCCAAAACTGCCACCAAAGTGCTCTAAACCTTTAAAGAATTTTCAAATGATTTTCAAATTTGTACCGTTTATGAAATGCTTCAAGTGAAACACATTTTTTTTTAGAAACCATTTCATTTATGTGCAAAAGCCTGTTTCTTTGCATATGTGTGTATGTGTGTGAGAGATGAGGAAAATCTGCCAGGATGAGGTTTGCTGACATTCAAAGAAAATCATCA